CACGCGCGTTCACACACACACGCGCGCGTTCACACACACACGCGCGCTCACACACACGCGCACTCACACACACACGCGCGTTCACACACACACGCACTCACTCACACACGCACTCACGCTCACAGACACTCACACACACACACACACACTCACAGACACACACACTCACACGCTCACAGACACCCACACACACCCACACATACACACACAGACACAGACACTCACAGACACACACACACATATACATACACACACACACACTCACCCACACATACACACACACACACTCACTCACATATACACACACATACTCATATACACACACACACACACACACTCACAGACACACACACTCACAGACACACACACACATATACATACACACACACACACTCACCCACACATACACACACACACACTCACTCACACATACACACACATACACATATACACACACACACACACACACTCACAGACACATACACTCACAGACACACACACACACACTCACAGACACACATTCACAGACACACACACACACACACACTCACAGACACATACACTCACACACACACACTCACAGACACACACTCACAGACACAGACACACACACACACACGTGTTAAAGGGCTTCAGATGTGTATTACCTTGCTCAGCAGGTACAGGTCCAGCAATTTTCTCTCCACGTGAGGAAAGCGCAGTTTGCAGCCCTGGAGCTCCCAGAACTTGGCGATCTGGTCGAGGAAGTTGAGCTTGACTCTGGTGAGGGCCTGAAGGGAGGAGACACGAGGTGAGGAACAAACACAGCGACCTTCACTATCACAGGACTGAGCCACTGAACTCACCTCCAGCTCATTGAGCCGCTGGATTCGAGGAGTGAAGCGGAAACTGCGCACATCGCAGGCGAAGGGAGGCTGCCAGCCCTGAAACACACAAACACACAGCAGCTATGAGTCTGTGAACAGAGCAGCTCCATCCACACTCATGCTTTAACCAGAGCCACTGATCAGGGCACATCAAACCATGACTTATCATTGAGAACGACTTCCCTGGAAACCCCATGTTTAACAAGGAATAATAAAGCCCTATCAAAAAACCATATAAAAGTACACAAAAAAAATCTGATTTTATATCTCAATATAATGAACAACAATAATGAAGTATGAAGCACTTGCTGTCTAATAGAGTCATTCCTGGTATTCAGTGTCATTTGCGTGGTCTGATCTGGTGTTGTGCTGTGTTTTACTACGGTATACAGTTGTGTACCTGCGGCAGTCTGATCTGGTGTTGTGCTGTGTTTTACTACGGTATACAGTTGTTGTTGTGTAACGTTACCTGCGGCGGTCGGATCTTGCAGATGCCCGTGTTCTCGGCGATCTCCCGGATTCTGTGGATGAAGCCGAACGGGTCGCTGAAGTCCTGCCAGCTGGGCTCGAACACTGGACACTCCGGCGGAGCCACGAACTCGCGGAACAACGCCATGACTAACCGCTGACACACGGACCGGAGCGTCAGATCATGATCACGGGAACGGATCCCTCTGCGAGATCAGCTGCTCATTTCTGCGTGTTCCTCAGATTCTCCGCTAGAAGCAAACACGAACCGGGACGCGGGTTCAGAAACAGATGATCGGCGCGTTATGATGAATGTTGTGTTTATTATAATCGGCGCGTTATGAATGCTGTTGTGTTTATTATAATCGGCGCGTTATGAATGCTGTTGTGTTTATTATGTGAGATCGGGAGCGAAACGCGCCGAACAAAAGCCGCCGCCGCCGGTCACTTCATCTCGCTTCTGCGCTCGTTTCTCTGCATGTGTCGCCTCGTTCGCCTTCTGCGATCATATCCGTCAGTTACCGGAGAAATCCTCCATGTTTAGTCCTCTATTAATCCGACTGATTCTCACAAACGCCGTTAGCATCTTCCGCTAGCCTCCGCTCAAATGTTTCCGGAAGTGTTATCTTTCACCTTCACCGCTGTACTTCCGCTGCAACAGCTGCACGACAAAACAAACGCTAAACGTAAAACGCCTGAAATGTGTTTAATAAATGTGTATAAAGAGGTTACATTCACAATTTTACATGCTGTATATGCAGCTAAACAAGTGTTAGAGAGGTTTAATGTGGATATCGATTATCCCTGTGATTTGTGTTCAGTTTTCTGGGTGGATATGGAACATTTCATTAGAAGGAAAACAAATATTTTATTAAAGTTAAATAATTTTGATACATGTATGTAACATCAGAAGAACGGGTCAGGATCCATTTCTTCAGGAGACTAAAGACTGAAAGCAAAGAAGACGTGTAATGTGTTTCACGAATATACAGCTTCTGATTAATGACTCAGTTGTTTGTACACTCTGGCATGTTTTTATGTACATGTTTGAATATGTGGTTCTGGTCAGTAATAAAGGTCTGGAAGTGTTTATGAGCTGCATATGAAACGACTTCGAGATGAATGGCAAAAGAATTCACATTAAGTGACATATTAAACGATGGTCCAAATGCAGGAAAACAACCGAGTGCAGTCTTGAGCTTTATTAGCTCCGATCATGTTTTTACACCGCTGTAAATGTGAACCGGTGAACATATACAAGATAGTAAAATATACTTACATGGTAATAGCCATAGGGTTTATCTCTCTCAAAGCAGGGGCTGAAGAGAAAATACTGCACGGGCACAGCAAGATCACCGTTTATTGGAAGAACAATATAAATATTGATTTGGGGGTTTATATGAATGTATCTCTGAGGGGAAGTGACTGTCTTCAGAAAAGTTTCGATGGTATTGTGTCCCTCTTGCCTCTGTATAATGCACATTAATATATAAGTGCAGCGTAACCAAGGAAACGCAGTATCTGCTGCTGCATGAGCGCCTCCTGCTGGCAGAGAGTGAATCTGCGTCTCATTCAGCGCTTCTGCTGTTTCGGTCTCGTTCAGATGGCTACAGAGATATACACACACATATGGGTAGTTGACAAATAGGCAGGAAAAAATGCTTTTTTTTTGTGGTGGTGGCTGAAGGTTTCTTGCGTGTTCGGTCTTTTCAGCGCGCAAAGTTATTTCATTTTTGTGAATTTTTTTTTTTTTTAGGCAAGTCATGATAATTTGAGAAGGCTAAATGCGCTGTTTTCGTTCAAATCAAAGAGTAAATACACGTAGAAAACGTATCCTTGTGGCGCGGCTGACACAGAAGAGCGTACGCTGCCAGCGTTCAGTGGATATTCTCCAAAATGGCGCTACGGTGATGTGGAGAGACACAGAGGTGGCACCGCAGCAAGTCCTTTCCTTTCGTTTTGTCGCATTGTGCCGAATTTAGTGTGACGGCTGAGCCTGTTTTTCAGTTAGTTTAACTGTTTTGCAATCACTGATATTCTTGATTTTTACTAGCCCCTGTCCATTTTCTTTTTAGTTGTCTTTGCTCAAACTCAGTCACCAAATCTGCCATAACTGTTGCCAACGAGGATATGTAACGGTCGCCTGATTAGCTGGGAGACTGATCAAATTCTAAGCTTTGTGTGCAATTAGCATTAATAAAATGCATTTAGTAAGTACTCTAGACACTGCATTTTAAAACAACTAGAGCTTATTTGCAGACCCTGCAGTCTCTCCACTACATTAAGGTGGAAGTATGCTGTCTTTTAAACATTAGAAACGTGATTATGAAAGAACAAATAGATGTCAACACAACACCTGTGTTCTTTACTGTGGAAAATCACATAACTGTACATCCATTGAGGTCTGTGAAGGTTTTTGATCCAATAATTAACACTTGTGTTTAGGCATAATTTAATAGAAGAAATATTTTATATGATCAATACACTCTGTTATTTAAAAGAGTTATGAAGTTTTGTCAAGAAAATGTCATCTGCATAACATAGAAAAATCTAATTATAAGGGGCCTCATGTATAAAACTTTACGTAGATTTCATCCTAAATGTGTGCGTACGCACAAAAGCTA